AGGACCTAACCGGGGGCTTAAGTGGAGAGCAAATGTTTTGAGAATGAGGGCAATGAATGTACAAATGTGCTTTACACAACTGATGTATGTATGGATTGTGATGAGTTGTATGAGTCCCTAATAAAACAATTAAAAATTAATAACAACAACAAAAAAAAAGATGTGTTTCTAGGTGTGGGTGAGCTGAAATGGACTGGTAATGATCATGTTGTATCAGAAAATCACATGGTTTACTATGTCAGGAATATGTCAGAATGTGAACATGCTGGGAATCTGTAAGGAATGACACAATTAGAAGGAATGACATTGCCTTCAATGCCACAGGGACATTTTAAAATCTATCTATACAGCCAATGTGGAGATGTGATGAGCTCCCTGGGCCAAAACCCAATCAATACTGAGGTGCTGAAAGTCCTAGGGAGCCCCATGAGTGGTGAAAGGAATGTAAAGGTGCTGGATTTTGAGCATTTCCTACCCATGCTGGAGACTGTGGCCAAGGACAGGGGCCAGGGCACCTGGGAGGATTATGTTGAAGGCCTTCAGATGTTTGACAAGGAAGGGAATGGCACCCTCATAGGGGCTGAGTTCAGGCATGTCCTTGTCACACTGTGCGAGAAGATGACAGAGGAAGAAGTAGAGGTGCTGGTGGCAGGGCCTAAACACAGCAATGGCTGCATCGACTATGAAGAGTTCGTCCACATGGTGCTGAATGGCCGAGGACAGACCTTCCTGTGTCCCCGGAGCCCTGTGCCTTTTCCCATGTGAGACTGACTGCATGTCATCCCAAGACCTCCTCACTGTCAAAGCACCTCTCCAATCTTGTCTCTCTTGAAATAATGCGGGCCAGCAGCAGCCACCAAATAAACTTTCTCTCTGTGCCCCACACCCCCCAAAAAGATCTCTCTTTTTTAAGTATAATACTGGTTGTGATAAAATTGTATCTATCAGCCTTTAGGGAATCCAATCAATATAACTATTACTCCAACTAACAAATCTAAAAATAAGGAAATTTTAAAATTCTACCAATATCTTCAGTATGAAAATGATAAAATATGCAAAGAGATCATTTACGTTTATTGAATTTTGGAGTACAAATGTTAGAAACAAGGAGGAATTAACAGTAGTTCGAAAATATCTCTTATTGATAGAAGCAAAGATGGACATTGCGTGATAGAGTTTTGTAAGACTCAGGGAGAGTTCATTGCAAATACCTTTTTCGCAACCACAAAAAGGGTAATTATACATGTGTACCTGGACTGTTCTAATGGAATGCACAGAAATCAATTGACTGCACCCTTGGAAAGAGACTTGGAGAAGCTGAATATCAGCAACTACAAGAAGGCCAGGGGTAGACTATAGAGCAAATCAGCAATTGCTCGTATGGAAGTTCAACCTCAGGTTGAAGTTGAAGAAAATGGAAACAAATCCACAAGAGCCAAAATACGGCCTTGAGTATATCCCACCTGAATTTTGAGAACACATCTAGGGCAGATTTGCTGCAGTAACACAAGAAAGAAAGGAAAAATCAAAATGGATGTAAGAAGAGACTCAGAAAATTGCTTTGGAATGTAGAGTATGGAAGAAAAATGGAAGAAAGTATGAAGGCAAAGAGCTGAAGAGAAAATTTCAAAAGACACACACAGCTACAAAGTACAATATTGTAATGAAATGAACACGACCCTAGAATTACAAAGCCAAAGAAGAACATACTCAGCATATGTTAAATTGAATGACCTGATGGGAAAAATTCAAGCTACAAGTTGCAATAATGAAAGTTTTATGGGCAAAATATTTATTTAGTGGTACAGGAAGCATCAAAAAAAGATGGAATTCTACAAAGAATCACTGTACCAAAAACTCTAGTCAACATTCCATAATTTGAGGATCTAGCATTTGAGTAAGAACAACCAGTGGTACTGAAAGAAAAAAGTTCAAACTGCACTGAAAGCATTACCCAAAAATAAATCCTCAGGAATTGTGTTAGACAGGGTTCTCTAGAGAGACAAAATCAGATTTCTAATATTTATATAGATAGATAGATAACACAAGAAATAAACAGGTAAAGTATAAAGCAGTGATGATAGATAGATAGATAGATAGATAGATAGATAGATAGATAGATAGATGATAGATAGAGAGAGAGAGAGAGAGAGAGATAGATAGATAGATAACACAAGAAATAAATAGTTAAGTTATAAAGCAGTACAAATGGCTCAGTACAATTCAAATATGTTAGACAGTTGTGAGACACTGGCAGTCTTGAGGGCACCAGGTAGTCCTCTGTAGAGAGATTCAGGCTATCCTTGCACAGGCAGCAAATAGCAAGGCAGGTCACCAACTGTCAGCCAGGTCACCAACAGTCAGTCCCCAGTTCAAGAGATGTAAATTCCAATGGTGTGGCGAGGCAGGTCTTGAATTAACCTCAAATTACAGTGACAGAGCTCACAGATTAGGTGTCCCACAGGTAGTGTAGCTTGCAAATTGAGGCACAGAACAAGCAAGGCAGCCGCATACTCGTCCAATGATCAAAGAGCAAGAGACAAGAAAGGCGAGGCTCATCGAGCCATTTATCTCTCTGCCCTTCAATTAATTCCACGTGTGTTTATTGGCCAGGCTGGCACTATAAACTAACTACCTAAATCCACCCCTTGCCAACCTGGCACCTGTACACAATTATTTAGTCATATATAATTATATATGAAATATATATTATATATATTATATATATAATCGATGAAATAACACTTACACTTATCATCAATCATCTATCATACATACAAATGAAAACACATTGAGTCCAATTGTATCTAATATATCATACCTGAACAAAGGAAAGATATGCAATAAACACATAACAAGAAAATACACTGACAATTACAAACCTCACTTTTGCAATTGATCACGTGGTCATAACTGATAGGTAGAACTACTTTCTTCTACTACCCATTCTGTATTACCTTTGCCCTCAGCAAGCACCTCAGCTGGCTGTGGTTTTTTGCCTGGGGGGTGATCCAGACCTTCATTCCTGAGGGGTCTGGGTCATTACAGGTCCTGTCAGGATTGGGTTGCTGTAATTGACCATTTACTTTAATCATAGGGCATGGTAACACTAAGAGTCAGCCTATGGGATCTCCTGAGTTCCAGACATATTCTTCTTTACCTCCATTATGTAACACCAGTCCAATTCTCCTTGGTAATCAGGATCAATCACACCACTCAGTATAGTGTGACTTGTTGATCCAAAGGCATACGAAGCCCAAAGTGGCCAGGGGGCATTCTCAGCTGCCAGTTCAGGTGCCATTCTCAGCTGCCAGGTCCTTCAGAACCAGGACCTCCAGGCCTGAGGAACACAGGGTTGCTGGTACAGGAAGCAAAAGTGCTGCAAGTGGATCACTAGGAGTAATAGTGAGTGGTGCCACTGCAGCTTCCACCCCTTGGTTCCAGGACCCATGAATTCTGGCTGTTACAGACACAGCACCATATATTGGCCGCTGGTTTAGAGCGTATACAGCTTCCTGGAGAACATTGCCCCAGCCCCGCAAGTTGTTGCCACCTAGTTGACACTGTAATTGTGTCTTTAGTAGCCCATTCCATCATTCTATCAAGCCAGCAGCTTCAGGATGATGAGGAACATGATATGGCCATTGCATTCCATGGGAATGGGCCCATCGCCACACTGCATTTGCTGTGAAGTGAGTTCCTTGATCTGAAGCAATGCTATGTGGGATGCCATGTCGGTGGATGAGGCATTCTGTAAGTCCACGAATAGTAGTTTTGGTAGAAGCATCGCGTTCAGGGAAGGAAAATCCATATCCAGGATAGGTGTCTATTCCAGTAAGAACAAAACGCTGTCCCCTCCATGATGGAAGTGGTCCTATGTAATCAACCTGCCACCAAGTTGCCGGTTGATCTCCCCGAGGAATGGTCCCATATCTTGGACTTAATGTTGGTTTCTGCTTCTGGCAAATGGGGCACTCAGCAGTGGCAGTGGACAAGTCAGCTTTGGTGAGTGGAAGTCCATGTTGCTGTGCCCATGCATAACCTCCATCCCTGCCGCCATGTCCACTTTGTTCATGTGCCCACTGGGCAATGACAGGAGTGGCAGAAGAAGGAGGAGGACTAGTCTCCACAGCACGTGTCATCTTATCCACTTGATTATGAAAGTCCTCCTCTTCAGATAGAATACCAGTGGAAATGTGTCAGAAAGTTGATGAAGCACTAGAAGCACTAATTGGCCTATGCCAGGACATTTGGAAGAGGGTTATTTGGCTAATTGACCAGAAAGATCCATATTTATCTCCAATCCAAAGAAAGGTGCCAATAGAATGCTTGAATTATAGAACAGTATAATTTACATCACATGCAAGTGAAATGTTGCCGATTATCATCCAACAACACTTGTAACTATACCTGAGTAGGGAGCTGCTAGATGTTTAGGTTGGTTACAGAAGAGGACTTCACATGAAAGATACCATTGTTGGTAGCAGAGGGATCTTGGCTGGAGGCCAAGAATACTAGAAAGGTATTTATTTTTGTTTTATGGACTATGCAAAGGTATGGCCCTTTGTGAATCATAAAACACTATCCATTGCCTTAGGAATGGGAACTGAGAACACTTCATTGTGCTCATGCATTGTACATGGATCCGTGTGAACTGAACAATGGATGTTTTAAAGTCAGGAAAGGTTAGAAAGTGGAATATATTCTTTCATCATATTTACATATTTTGTAAGCTGAGCAAATAATCAAAAATCTTTATTACATATAGAAAAATACATTATGATGGATGGACGTGTAATTTATAACCTGAGATATGCAGAGGATACCACTTTGCTTGCTGAAAGCAAGGAGCACTGGAAGCAGTTGTTAGTGGAGAGTAAGTCTTGCATCACAACTCAAAGCAAAGACCTAAGTCCTCACAACTGGTGCAATAAGTACATCAGGATAAATGGAGAAAAGCTTAAAATTGTGAAAATTTTTGTCTTGTTTGGTTCTACAATCAATGCTCATGGATGCACAGGGGATGGATTGGGCAATTCATTGCACTGGGCAAATCTGCTGTACAAGATCTCCTTAGCATGTTCTAAAGCAAGAAGTTTACTTCGTAAAGTAAGCTGAGTCCGAGTCAAGTCGTGCTGTGTTCAATTGCCTAATATGGATGTGAAAGTTGAACATTGAATAACGGAGATGGAAGATGAATCTATGCATTTCCATTGTGGTGCTGGGATCAATATTGAAGGTGGTTAGAATTCTCGGGTGGGAAACACTTCGGTTCTTGGTTTCTCACAAGAAAGAATACACACCGAAGACTGGTTTGTGATCGCAATGGGTTTTCATAGAGGACTGAAAATGTTTCAAGCGTTGCTGTCACTGAACACAGGCCCCCTCATGGCACTGTGCACGCACATGTGGTGGCCTGAGACCTGGCGGAGAGGAAGGCAAAGGAGCCACTGGAAAAGAGGGCCGTGGTCTCCAGGTTCCGGCCTTTAGGACTTCTGCTGGGAGGCGCTGTTGAAGGAACTGGGGACCCCATTGACCGAATTAAGCCCACCTGGCCTAGTTCAGGCTCTCCCCGGTGCCCAGTAGACACCCCTGGTCCCTGTTCTGCTACCTAACAGTCCCATGGATTGCCAAGAAGACAAACCAATCTATCTCAGAAGAACAGTTAGAATGCTCCTTAGAGGTAAGAATAGGGAGACTTGCTCTTACATCTATTTGCTACATTGTCAGGCGAGCCCAGGCCGTGGAGAAGGACAGCATGCTCA